CTCGTTAGATTCTGCTGATTGTCGGTTTTTGTATATATATCCTTTAGGAGATGTTCGAAATGCATATACTTTGAATATCACTAAATTCATATTGAACTTCCCGCATACAATACTCGTATTAATAATTACAAATATGTATATTTGTCTATTATATGCCAAATCGACCACTTTTGCGTTCGACCCCTTTAGATTCATTCAGCTGAAACTTTATTATTCTTTTCTACCCATTGAAAAACATATTTGAGAATTTTTCAAATTTTTTGAAGCCAACGTATGCATACGTATCGACTCGTAAGTAGTTTGTATAAGCGAACATGAGAGGGTGTTTAGTTCAAATCATAAATGATGAGCGGGAAATAAAAAAATTCGAATAACATACGTATGAGATGTCGATTTTACCTAGCTTCTGTAAAACTTATTATGAAATAATAATTCATTACATTTATGCATTACATGGGTTGACCGATTTCATAGGTATTTTTTTGTATTTCACATCTTTTTGTAGAGAATGAAAGTTATTGAAGTCTTATTTTTTTTGTAAAGTGCAAATGTTATTGAGATGAGTTTTATAAACGTGGACTTGGCGCAATTTTTTACAGTGAAACTGTTTTTGTTCGGATTTCATATCTTTTTGTTAAGTATTATTTTTTGCTCATTTATTACTTAACAAAAATAGACAATAGAATAAAAATATATTATAAATAGTCACTCAGCTTAAAAGCTAATGAAACGCTCAATTAATTAGTGTAATAATAATCAACAGTAAACAAACAATTTTTACATTCGAACATTAACGAACAAACGACGAACAAATAATTAAAAATTAAAAAATCCGAAAATCAAAAAAAGGGGCCCAAATTTACAGAGCCACATTAAACATGTTTCAAATTATGTTTTATTGTACAATTTAATATCTACTTACAATTTACATAATGTTACAATATTTTAAAGTCAGAGGGATGTTTAAAATTTTAAGCTATGATTATTCTTATCTACAATGTAGGTTTGATGCCAAGCCTAATAAGTTATAAAAAAAATTCGTCTGCCTTCATCATAGACACTTCAGTGGCCTTCATAAAAGGATTTGAGACTAGACTTAATTGGGCTGTGAATTTGGCACCCCCCTTTTTTTTTAATTTTGATTTTTTTTATTTTTAAATATTTGGCCGTCATTTGTTCGTTAATGTTCGAATGTAAAAATTGTTTGTTCGTCTTTTATTTATTTATAATTAATTAAACAAATGATCACCGCTAAGTGGGCCCCCTTACTAGATATGTTTATTTTTATCGCTCAGATTAATTCATTTTGATCAGTTATCGTTTGTTCGATGACTATTGGTGATTGTTCGATCATAAAAACAATTAAATTCCCAATTATTAATTATTTTATATCTAATAAGCAAACCATCACCTCACGCCTACATTGCGCATGCGCCGGTTTTGTCAGTCAGCTGGCAATGGCCATAGATTATACACTTAATATTGGCAATGGCCGTATTTACTAGCGTTTTGTTAACAAGTGCGTTTATATATTATCGAGAAGTATATTGATTGATATATATTACAAGGCTTC